GAGGGCACGTTGATTGAATGCTTTTGTTTTGTTTGCAGGATGTGACTGATTTTGAGTGGGAATTTTGGTTGAGTGCAATAGAATCCTTGATGCCTGCGATGTTGCTTCACGCAATTGGGGGAATAATTTTTTCACGATTTCTTTCCCAGGTGAGGAATAGTTTTTGTTTTGTCACCTCATTGTCTATGGCTTTCTCTTTGACTATAATGTTGCAAGGATAATAGTAAAATCCTATCTGCAGTAATTCTGCCATAAGAAAGAATAATTTGAAAGTCCTTTACAGTGGAGCGAGGCGAGGTTTCCAGTATCTGAATGCGTCTGCCACGCCCGCGTACTCTTGACACGTTGCATGCGCCGAATGAAGTGTGAAGCGTCGAATGAAGGCCTCGTCCACCCCACGCCGAAGGAATCTGAAAACGCAGCTTTATTTCTACGGTTACGTCTACCGTCCATACTAATCCGTCACGAAAACGAACCTTTTCGAAAACGCACTCCAAATCGGAGGAATTTGAAAACGCCGGCTTTGCCTTTTCGTATGGCCAGAAAACATTTTAAAAACAAGCTTTTTGAAAACGATGACGTCACGATAATCACGTGATTGCCCTGGCCGAGTATTTTCAAACTCAAATCCAAAATGACTGGTTATTGTTGCATTTTTAAATTACTCCGGCGAGGTGTGAACGGAAAACATTTGACGCGTTTTCAGAGTGAAACCTACGTTTTCGAATTCCCTCGGCGTATAGTGTGGACGGAGCGATAAATTTTCTCCTCTACGTTGAATTGCCACGTTTTTCGAGCGGGTCGGCCTTTTAAATTCCCTTCCTTTTACCTCTGAAGTTTTTGTTTTGTTCTCGAAGAAGTATAAAACACTCGAAACAGATTCCAAAAGAAAATCTCTCCACTCAACTTTTTGCCCTTTTCCTATCGATGTTAAAAGTGATTATGGAAAGACCTATTTCGTCTCTGCTAAATCAGTAACTGTAACACTAGTTGCATTTCTTATTATCTCGCTGTACTAAATCTAATTTAAGACAAATTTTTGTTGAACGTTTGCCTGTATTGCCTTTCAGCACAAAGCAAGTTACTGCCTGTTGTTCAGTCTTTCCTTTCTGCTGTACTTCACCGGTTTAAAGCCAGTTATGTTTATGCTTGGGCATTGCTTACTTGTTTACATGTGTTGTTCCATTTTGAAGTCGATCACTGCCGTGTGGGTCTGCAATCTTGGCATTTTACTTTCTCTGCAAATCAACGCTGCTAAAATATGGCAGGTAAGACAAGCTGCGATGAGAACAGAACAACTACGGTATGTCCACAAATTTTGTGGTCTTATTGCCTTTCCGAAAATAATAGCTGACCCTTTTTTGGGGTATCCAAAACGACTTCTTGATCAATCCGAGAACAGCAGGTATTAAATTTCTCATTTCATGGAAGTTCGAGGTTACAAGAAAATCGGAGGGAGGAAAAGACCATCCGAACAGATAATTAACCGAAACTTTCCGTTGGGTAGCCCTGATATAAGTTCCTTTCACGTCTTGAAGCGAGTGTTTTCAGTTGTCGTGGTAGCTTGGCCGTGACGAGGTTTATTGTGGAGGCAGGATACAGATAATTTTCAGTCTACTTGTCAACAATAAAGAGCTTAAGTACTGACCACAGCGATCCCGAGGACAACGGCTGGTAAAAAAAGAACTTGTATTTTACCTTTAAATTTTTTTCAGTTGTCTAGATCTGTTCAGTGCGTCTATCGGTCTAGCTAAATGCGTAACGATGGCGTTCAATTCCAAATGAAAATACGAAAAATTGGTTGCCGTCGTTTGCGTTCTTCAAAATACGCAGAACTTGGTCATTTCACGTTGTTGTTTTGCAGAGGACGGCAAAGAAATGTACACGGATTTATAACGCACGTGCACAGCCATTGTTCTACTTGTTAAGCTTTTTGTTTGGTGGCGTTCTCTTTGTCGTTGGCGTCGTGGTTTGCTCAAGCTCTCTAATAACTGCTGTAATGGAAGCAATGGAAACGTGTCGAAACACTTTCGTTTCAATTTTTTTTGTTTACTCAGCTTCAGTTCCTCAGCACCAGCTCAGATATCAGGAGTTTTACATTATTTGTGTCCTTGATGGCGAATCTGCGTTGTATTAGTTTTAGCATGGACTACTGCTGGCGGCTACGTGATTCGGACAAAGATAAACCCGTCAAGCCTTACACACTGATGGATCTACTGGTGTATAACTTTTACTTGCCGTTATTTGCCAATGGTCCAGTTGTCACTTTTGATACTTTTCAGAAAACGGTGAGTGGTTTTGATTATATACGGTGATGAGGGTCAAAAATGCTTCGATAACCCTCCAGCTCACTTTCTTGTTTTTGAATGTAATATAATGCGTGGTTGAATCGATTGGCTGTTTTGTCACAAAGATGTCAGAGCACAGACTGACGCCTCCCCACTAAAAACGAGCCCTGAAAAACCCGCTTCCAATTAACCTTTTCACCACTATGACCCAATCAACATGGCGACGCAACGTCTTGCAATAGCGGCTACAGGGATTGTACCAAACTCAAATGCACTCCGGTTAACCCGCTTAGTACCCCTTTGGTAAGCCTAACCAGCACTGTTATTAGCCTAAATGGCATCCCGATTAGCCTGAGTAGTGCTCTGTTAAGGCTCATTAGCGCTCTGGTTAGCTTGAGTAAGCGCTAACTAGAAAATGGTCAGCATTTTAATGGTGTAAAATTCCTGTATTTAGCTGCATGTCTTCTTGCAGTTGTGTTCAATCTAAAATATCCCACTATGAAATACGATGTCTTGCAACTGTAGAGAATGCGAATAACTACGTCCGATTTCCGTCGCTCTCTCGGGTCCGGTCTTCATTCCGGGCTCGGAGTGGGGCTCAGAACGGGGGCTCTTTCCCAAGCATGGGCTGGTAGTCGATCCCAGGCAAAAACTGACCTAGGTTTGTTCTATGAATACAACCTTGGTTGTGGTCAAATTTTCATTGCGACTGGAAATTATTGGAACACTTTACTGAGTAAAGTTCTGAGGGTATTCCAACTGTCAGTTAAACAGCAGTTGTCTTCTTGTGACAAGGCTAATAAAAAAAACAAATAATAAATAATTGATGAAATATTCCTGGCTAATAGTTTGTGTTTTGACTTTTAAATCTGCGTGTTTGTCTTTCTAGTTTTATCAACCTTACAAGCCATTTTCAAAGGAGGAAATCAAATCTCTTATCTGGGACTCAACCCGTACATTATGGTGGTACTTTTTCCTGGAGGGCTATTTACACTTCATCTACTCGACAGCCTTCACACATGACCCCAGCATATTTAGCACCCTGTCTAATTGGGCCCTGACTGGTATTATGTACTCTCAGCTGCAAATCTTCCTCGTCAAGTACAAGGTGTTCTACCGCTGTACAGGAGTGTTGGCGCGTGTGGACCGGGTCGAGGTTCCTTTGCCTCCAAGATGTGTAACCACGTTGTATCTCTTCACAGACATGTGGAAGTAAGATTCATCACGAAAATGTGGGCAGAGCAACATTTTGTTTCACCGGTTAGAAACATGCTCGGGGGGAGTCCCATATGAAAAGGTCGTGGATGCTTGTCGTCTCGCTATAAAATCCGGCAAGGATTCTGGTCTCAGTTAGGGTGTTGATGACGAAACGCCACTATTTTCAGCGGTCAACGTATCTGTTAGGGTGCACTCGGAGAAATAATAATAAAAGAAACGCTCTTATTTCCGTTTTTAGGCTCGATGTCCACCGGTCTCTCGAGTCCGGTCTACTAGCACGGGCTCCTTTTTTGGGCAGCGGCTGGTAATCCAGCCTATTCAGTTTTAAGTGGTATCCTTTAGGAGTCAAATAAAGCTCGAGCCACGCCTAGATTGGTGTCCTTTAGGGTTGAATGATTTACTTCGATTAATGTGGGATGCAGGTGGATGGTGGAGTGGGTCAAAAGGTGGATTCCCATTTCCATTTGTAAAGAGAACTATTACCATTACTGAGTGAGGTGGTCAAGGCGACCACACAACATGAAGTCAAAATTTAGGAGATGTCGCAAAATCTATCGATCTTGTGACAGGATTGCTTTTACGAGGACTTATTGATCATTAAGGGCGCGCTAAGCTAGATGCTTCTCATAAACTGTCATCACCTGCTATATATAACAACCTGAGATAGAAACATATTTATTAAGGTATTCTTAGCATTTATTGCAAAAAGATGATTTCAAATTCAAAGAATTCAAGACACATTCAAAATGCTCCAAAACACTAACGTTAAGATCATGTATTGAATTGTTGAAGTGAGAGCAAATTATAATTGTTTTTTTTTGCATTTATTCCGAGGCAGGACGATTTTTTTTTAGGACGATCAGACAGTTATATCAGAAATTTGTGCATGTGTATGTCATTATAATGCCCCTGTTATAGTTTCAGTGCACTTGCACGGCAGTCTAACAAAACGAGACAATTATTTTTGAGTTTCATCAGGAAAATATGTCTTTTAAGTTTTCTCTTGTCGGCCGGGGAGTCATAGTGCCCCTTTACTGGGTAGGTTTGTTTTTAGGCTGCCGAAACCGTTTCAAACATCTCTTAATGCTTCTGTTTGTTTTGCTCAATTTTCCAGGTACTTTGACAGGGGTCTGAACACTTGGATGAAGAGGTAAAGAATGGGTTTTACAAGATATCTTCGGTTGTCTACATTTTGGTTCAACTTCTTCCGAAAATGACGGTGACCACCAGGTTTTCCTTGTTGCAGGTATATTTACGTGCCCGTGGGAGGGTCCCGTAAGGGTTTTGCTCGTCAAATCGCGGGCTCGTTTCTCGCTTTTGCCTTTATATGGTTATGGCATGGTAGTAACATGCACACCATGTGGTGGTGTATTCCTAACTGGCTTGGAGTGGTGGTGGAATCTTTAGCAGACATTGTGCTGCTGCTTCCTTCTGTTAAGCGACTCGAGGTAAGTTTCTTAAGGCCCCGTCCACACTGCGCAGGTGGAATTTGAAAACACAGCTTTTTTTNGCGCTAACTAGAAAATGGTCAGCATTTTAATGGTGTAAAATTCCTGTATTTAGCTGCATGTCTTCTTGCAGTTGTGTTCAATCTAAAATATCCCACTATGAAATACGATGTCTTGCAACTGTAGAGAATGCGAATAACTACGTCCGATTTCCGTCGCTCTCTCGGGTCCGGTCTTCATTCCGGGCTCGGAGTGGGGCTCAGAACGGGGGCTCTTTCCCAAGCATGGGCTGGTAGTCGATCCCAGGCAAAAACTGACCTAGGTTTGTTCTATGAATACAACCTTGGTTGTGGTCAAATTTTCATTGCGACTGGAAATTATTGGAACACTTTACTGAGTAAAGTTCTGAGGGTATTCCAACTGTCAGTTAAACAGCAGTTGTCTTCTTGTGACAAGGCTAATAAAAAAAACAAATAATAAATAATTGATGAAATATTCCTGGCTAATAGTTTGTGTTTTGACTTTTAAATCTGCGTGTTTGTCTTTCTAGTTTTATCAACCTTACAAGCCATTTTCAAAGGAGGAAATCAAATCTCTTATCTGGGACTCAACCCGTACATTATGGTGGTACTTTTTCCTGGAGGGCTATTTACACTTCATCTACTCGACAGCCTTCACACATGACCCCAGCATATTTAGCACCCTGTCTAATTGGGCCCTGACTGGTATTATGTACTCTCAGCTGCAAATCTTCCTCGTCAAGTACAAGGTGTTCTACCGCTGTACAGGAGTGTTGGCGCGTGTGGACCGGGTCGAGGTTCCTTTGCCTCCAAGATGTGTAACCACGTTGTATCTCTTCACAGACATGTGGAAGTAAGATTCATCACGAAAATGTGGGCAGAGCAACATTTTGTTTCACCGGTTAGAAACATGCTCGGGGGGAGTCCCATATGAAAAGGTCGTGGATGCTTGTCGTCTCGCTATAAAATCCGGCAAGGATTCTGGTCTCAGTTAGGGTGTTGATGACGAAACGCCACTATTTTCAGCGGTCAACGTATCTGTTAGGGTGCACTCGGAGAAATAATAATAAAAGAAACGCTCTTATTTCCGTTTTTAGGCTCGATGTCCACCGGTCTCTCGAGTCCGGTCTACTAGCACGGGCTCCTTTTTTGGGCAGCGGCTGGTAATCCAGCCTATTCAGTTTTAAGTGGTATCCTTTAGGAGTCAAATAAAGCTCGAGCCACGCCTAGATTGGTGTCCTTTAGGGTTGAATGATTTACTTCGATTAATGTGGGATGCAGGTGGATGGTGGAGTGGGTCAAAAGGTGGATTCCCATTTCCATTTGTAAAGAGAACTATTACCATTACTGAGTGAGGTGGTCAAGGCGACCACACAACATGAAGTCAAAATTTAGGAGATGTCGCAAAATCTATCGATCTTGTGACAGGATTGCTTTTACGAGGACTTATTGATCATTAAGGGCGCGCTAAGCTAGATGCTTCTCATAAACTGTCATCACCTGCTATATATAACAACCTGAGATAGAAACATATTTATTAAGGTATTCTTAGCATTTATTGCAAAAAGATGATTTCAAATTCAAAGAATTCAAGACACATTCAAAATGCTCCAAAACACTAACGTTAAGATCATGTATTGAATTGTTGAAGTGAGAGCAAATTATAATTGTTTTTTTTTGCATTTATTCCGAGGCAGGACGATTTTTTTTTAGGACGATCAGACAGTTATATCAGAAATTTGTGCATGTGTATGTCATTATAATGCCCCTGTTATAGTTTCAGTGCACTTGCACGGCAGTCTAACAAAACGAGACAATTATTTTTGAGTTTCATCAGGAAAATATGTCTTTTAAGTTTTCTCTTGTCGGCCGGGGAGTCATAGTGCCCCTTTACTGGGTAGGTTTGTTTTTAGGCTGCCGAAACCGTTTCAAACATCTCTTAATGCTTCTGTTTGTTTTGCTCAATTTTCCAGGTACTTTGACAGGGGTCTGAACACTTGGATGAAGAGGTAAAGAATGGGTTTTACAAGATATCTTCGGTTGTCTACATTTTGGTTCAACTTCTTCCGAAAATGACGGTGACCACCAGGTTTTCCTTGTTGCAGGTATATTTACGTGCCCGTGGGAGGGTCCCGTAAGGGTTTTGCTCGTCAAATCGCGGGCTCGTTTCTCGCTTTTGCCTTTATATGGTTATGGCATGGTAGTAACATGCACACCATGTGGTGGTGTATTCCTAACTGGCTTGGAGTGGTGGTGGAATCTTTAGCAGACATTGTGCTGCTGCTTCCTTCTGTTAAGCGACTCGAGGTAAGTTTCTTAAGGCCCCGTCCACACTGCGCAGGTGGAATTTGAAAACACAGCTTTTTTTCTACGGTTAGGCCTACCGTCTACGGAGCTTTTCCAACACGTTCTTCAAACCGGAGAAATTTGACTGAAAACACCAGCTTTGCGTTTTCAGTGGACGGAAATCATTTTGAAAACGGAGCTTTAACCCTTTTAATAATATACATGAAAAAATTACTCGATTCTGATTGGCTAAAAGCAATGCAGTTCAAGTGTAACACCAGTGCAAATTACAAATCATAATTCTGGATTATGATTGGCTGAAAGATAACAGGAAATTTTCTAAACCAATGATATCACGTGAAATGATGACGAGAGTTTTGTGCGGAAACTTTGAAAAAAGGTTCCTCGAATGAGAAAAAATGGCTTCAAGAAAGATCTTCCGGCACTTCCTCCAGGCGAATATTTTTCATGTTTATATTATTAATAAGTAATCATACGGTTTTTCTCGTTCAATTTGGAATTAATTTGCGCTTGTAAGTTTTTCAAGAAACTGAAATTGCATTCGCCGAAGCGGCTCGTGCAATTTCAGCTTTTTGAAAAACTCACTCATGCAAATTAATTCGAAATTGAACTCGAAACCGTATGATTACCTATACGAATAACAACTACGCAGATATGTGTAATTAATGGTCGTGCTCTTTGTACCACTTGTGACGTCATCAATTTAAATGACATCAGATATTCTTGATAAGCAGATAGTAGTGCTAGGCTAGCCCTTTCCGCACAGTGGTCAGGTTTAGATATCGACGACATTCGCAAATAGAAAAACAACGTTATCAGGTTTGGTGCAAAAACGGTGGTAAAATGGTCCACAACGCCTATGATTGATCAAGGTCCATTTCTAGGCTTCGCCCGTAATTAACGTCCAACTTTTCACTGCAGCCAGAAAGAACATACAATGCAAAAGGTAGACAGTATAAAAGGGCCGAGAACAACAGAAAGGAAAGGTCCAACAAACGAAATTGAGAACGGTTAATGGCAAAAAAAAAAAGGCCCGGACTTGAAGTTTTGCTCAATTTTGTACCTAATCCTCGAAAAATCTCTCTTTTAGTAAAAAAAAAAAGCTTTTTTAGCTTTTTTAGGTTAAGAAATCGATAAATTCATTGTAATCATGTGATTTCCCTGCTCGAGGTTTCCTCACACACAAATCCAAAATGACCGGTGATTGTTGCGTTTTCAAATTTCTTAGGCGTAGTGTGGACGGAAAACGCTTGATACGTTATCAGAGTGACAACGCCGATGTCAAATTCCTCCTGCGTAGTGTGGACGAGGCCCAGTACTTTGCGTGTTCTCTTAAAAAATCGATAATTCTTTGTGATGTATTAGACTGTGTTGTAGTCCACATGGTGTTTGTTGAATTTTTTGTTTCTATTTTTTTTAATAGGACAAGCTATCTCCGGCCGCGTCACGCCGAGTTCGCGCCCTGTTTGGCGTTGTGACTCTCACCAGTCTCATTTTAAGTAACTTAGTGTTTCTTTGTGGCCCTGATCCTGTTTGGTTTTACATCAAGAGAATCTTCCTTTTCGGTACGTGGAGAAAACAACTATAGATAACTAAATGGCAGTAAAATGTTTCCCTTTATTAAGTCGCTCTAGTCGCAAAATGTTTTGAGTTAAGTTTAAGATTTTTTAATTGGTTTCTTTTAACATAGAGCGGTTTTCAAGTTTCGTATAACCGAAACCAAAGTAATCACTCCAGCCAATCACAAAAGACACAGACAATCCAGGGAACCAATCAAATCTCGTTTCAAATACACGTAGCTGACGCAAAGCGCGGGAAAATGTTCGTGAGCGAGTCACAATTGGTTTTGGTTGTAATTCTGATTGGATGAAAAAGTGGCGCGAGTTTTTTAACCAATCATGTAACGTAATTAAAAACCAGTTACTTTTCGACACTCAAGTGAAAACCGCTGAATTGACGAATCCGCGAGCATAACTACTGCATGTGCAATTCATCGACAAGTGGCTGCTTTGACGTCCTTCGCGACGGCGTGGTCGGGCAGCAGATGACCAACGATGAACCAGCACAGCTTCCATCCAGTGGGATGGAAGCATTTAGAGTTGCTCCATAGCAGCCACTCAGTCCTCTGCTCTTTTGTTTTGCAGGTTGGCCGTCGTCTGCTCTTTTGCTTCTTTTTGGAATATACCTTATTGTGCAAACAGACATGGAACTCATGCGGCACATCTCTGAGTGGTGACACTGTCCTTGTTTTCAGCTGTCTTGCC